ATTACAAATACTCATTTTATGTGTTGTTTAATCTAAAAACGTCATAGTTTGTAATAGTATTATTTGACACCCTTTTCATTAAAAAAATGGTTTCATACATTAAATATGAAGAATTAATTTATCATTAATAAAAATCTACGAGCACTCCCAGTGTCCCTATATCACCTCAAAAATTAAACTAATTCTTATGTACTGTAACAATTCATTTTGTACAATAGATGTAGGTTGAATAGTAAAATTGCATCTCCTTCTTTACTATGATTTCTCAAATTGCACTTTCATTCTTCAACATTAATTTTTAAATACTAGATATACACAAGTACATGTATTCCTTTGTTTTTATATAAATCAAAGTCCCAATTTAATAATGAAATTTTTTTGTACACAATTGTTTATACGTTACGTTGTTATTAAATGAAATAAATGAAGTGACAGTATTAAGAACACTGGCAGTAATTGGGACATTTACCCCAATGAAGCGAAGGGTACCACAGAGTGTGATAAAAATTGATAACTATCGGAGTAAAGATCGAGGATCGATAAGAAGAGTCCACTGTGATTGGCTATTATTAAGCTATTATTACCAGAAAGTTGTTTTTATTTCTATGTATCTCTACCTATATTACAAAAAACTGTTTTCTATTTATATTTATCTCCATCTATACAATAAATAAAAATATCATTTAAAAGCAGCTTCTCTATTAATTAGTTTCTCATAAAATTCGATACGGTGTTACAATCGCTCTAGAGTTAGGGACAAATCTAACCAACGAATCATTTAAAACAACGTCTTATACCCATAAACTAATATAATATATTCCATGTTTTTAAGTTTCATTATATTGTCCAATAATAAAGGTCCATCAAGGTGTCCGAATTTAAAAAAACACTACAAAATTCAGAAGTAACAAACTCAAGAAAACAAACTGTTACGTTTGTCCCTGGTCCCCGCGCGGTTAACGCAGAATTCGCTCATAGGGCCCAGACCACGCGTCCAGGATCAACCCCCCCCCCCGTGGTCACTCCACCCGTGGAACTCGCAGAAGAACCGATCGTAAGCACAGGCACTTTTCCAACGAAATCGACGCACGACACAGAGAGGATCGCGGGGCGTGGATCTGTCCCCGCGGGCCTGTTCGCTTATAGCTCCGTATACTGAAAAACTTGCACGCGCGTTCTCTCGTCCGCGGAGTAATTTCAACGGAGACGGCCAGGAGGGGCGGTTGGGGAGGGGGGAGGGGAAGAAAAAGTCAAGGGGCCCCCGACAAAAGAAGACCGATACCGGCGAAATTACCCTCTCCGACAACCTTACACGGCCATCGCTCGGCGAGTCCTAATAAGGCCCGACGGTATAAATAAAGTCATTTGCGGTAGTCGCACCGGTCGTTCGACGGGGCCCTTCGACGAATCGAGCCTTTCGTCGCGTATGGCGGACGCGGCCACGTAGACCGGGGGAAGGAGGCCCCTACAGGCCGAGGGATCGGTTTGTTTTGCGGATTAGGGCCCGTTTTAGTTTGCAGGCCGCGCCTCGCGCCGCGACGAATCGAGAAACGGGGGACCGGCGCACGTCCACGGTTTTTGTGTCCGCGGCGGGAATCAAGTTGTCCTCGTTCCAGCGGCGTAGCCTTTCGCTGTTTCGTCTATCTTTCGAGAATTTCTTTGATCCTTGGATATTCTTTTCATCCTTGGAATTTATTGATATATCTGAAAACTAGGACGGATTGTTACGGTGATCAGGAGGTACGTCGACGAAAGTCACATCGGGCTTATCACCCCATATAATTCCGATAGATGTAAATATCGATATATCGGTTTATGAGTATGTCGATATTTTAGGCAATGATATGTCTAGATATTAGTTATAGTAGATATTTTGTTTGTGACATCTGTAGCTTTGTGTGCGATAGTGTTAGCGATTTTTTATTTCATTACTCTATCTAGAAATTAATTTTAAATTAGTGTGTTTTGTTTGATAAATCCTATGGATTATAGTTGTACATATTTTGTAGATATTTTACTTACGAAACCTTCTAATTTTTATCGTATTTAGATATATCTATTTTAACCATAAAATATTTTGCAATTAAAAGTAAATTATTATATTTCAATATAATGTGCCTTTAATTGCGTGTTTTGTAAAATTAAACGTTAAGGAGGTTGGTGTCTTATTTTTTAAAATTTGTTATGGTATCCAGAGATTTTTTATTTATGTATTTTCATGTATATGCCCGAAAGGAGTCACTTGCATGAAAGAGTTTTCATTGAAGTTCTGTGTGCACAATTTACAGATAATATGAAGTTATCGCGCAGTCTCGTAAGAAACAAAGAATTACCAAATAGGTGTTGTCTATATTGTTGAGTTTTATTAAAATTACGCTGCAGTATACAGGCTCTAAGTATACAAAAATTACAATAGCATTAAGTAGAAGAGGTTCTTCGAGGAGACAATATGTACAACAGAATATATTTATAAGTATTTGTCGTAATCGTCGTCTTCGTTTCTAATTCTCTTTTGGTTAAAACGCAGGCCTTACGAGAATTAATAATAATAAGAGTAACATCCGTTAATGATTACACCTGTCCTCCGTAATGCATTCGCTTAGGCTACCTACTGAGCTAAACGAATAAAAAAAAAAATTAAATGCACTTCTCCGTGCGTTATGCAACACGTCCTGCTCGCTCTTCCTCGAGTCTGATACTGCGACGTTGCCGCGGCTTCGTCTCGAATTAAACAATTAAACATTCGATCGTGTTCACATATTGAAAATCGAATTATTCGACTCCATTCACTGTCAAAGATGTCCGAGATTTTGTTTTTTTTTTTCTATTTATAGACAGGAAATATATTTTATTCGTCGTCGACAGAGAGAAAAATAATCGATGAATTAAACTATACCCTATCCAAATCAAAACTTTACATTTTCTTTATAAAAAGTGTTTATATTTGGTTCACTATAAAGTTGAACGTTATTAAATATCCGATTGCCAAATAAAATCATTTTCGCTTACAATACCGTGCGATCTCAAATTCAACTTTCTTCAGAATCTGAAATGATTCTATACAGATCATCGACGAGTATTTTCTCCCTGTTACAAAAAAAAAATTCTCATCACAATGGACACATTACTGGACATCTCGATGCGAATGAAAGCTACGCAGCAGAATAAGGATGTTTTTTTCCAGAGTTTCTAAATGTAAGTCGTGTCCATTTACGTATCTGACAATACTGTAATATACCGACGAAGTTATTTATGACACAAGGTTCCGATTTACATTTAGAAGTCTCGGGGGAATAATGATCAACGGCGTGTCTTTCGTTTAATGTTAGGTGCTGAATTTTAAACGTGTGACCAACGATCGAACGGGAGTGGATTCGATGATCGAATGTCACGCCGCGACATGGCGGATATATTTTTTCTTTCCCGACGAAGCCGGGCAACATGACGAGACCCGTCAGAGAATAGACTAAACAAACAAACAACAACAACAATAATAGTAATGTCTGGTTTCGCGGATCGTCGAATCCGCGACGATCGCCGCCGTTCACGACTTATGACACTGGATTAAGTCACGCCTCGATTCGCGTGATGCTCGGTCGTGTGGGTGACTCGAAACGATTCATCGAAACTCGATATCAAGAATCTTCTCTATTCGATAACAAGGATATATCTCCGCTGAATAGAAAATTTTCTTTCCGTTTAATCGAGCAAGGCTCGAGTTATTCATTTTTCTTTCTAGTCGTCGATTCAACGACACAATTGCAGGTTCCCTGGAATTTTCGAAATGGAAATATTTAACAGGTTCAGCGCCAATGTAACGGCTATGAAATGTTAACGAATTGAATGTAATTCTTTTAATAATACAACTTGTTACAGTAACTATTCATTTAACCTTATCGAATTTCAGAGGAGTTGAATTTTAATATCGAGTGTCTTACTTCAATTTCGAATTGGGAACGAGAAACTGTGCCCCCTATATGTGGGTGACGTGACGGCCAAAGTGGTTAATACAATTGATTTGTTTTGCAACGCACAGTGTACGAAGAGGTAGCTTAATTTCATTTGTCACATTTCTGCCCTAAATATTTTAAATAGTTAACAACACGTACGTTGGTATTCAGATTGCAAACATCGAAATATCCAACGGCCGAATGTAATAAACTTTTTTATGTTTAGTTAAAAAACAACGTTTTGAGTCAAGATTTCGTTATACTCCGTTTGCGTTGCAAGAAAATATCTGCTATGGGCATTGGTTATTAAGATCAATGAGTAATTATATTATTCGGTACGTCTACATGGTAATGAACAACTTTCGATCAATGTTTCGAGGCCATCGCGACCGACAAGAATGGGAAACGTGATAACGATATTCGGAAAGTCGAGAGCTTTCTCTTTCATTGGTTATATTTTGGCACGGGAGTAAATAAAACACGTGTCTCTCTTTGAGCTTGAGCATCCTTTCACGTTCGATCGAACTCGAATTAGAATCCCGTCAACGGCAATGAGAGCGCTTTTCTCTTTCTAAACGTCGCGAATACATAAATATAATATAATGAGAAGCGCTTCTCCGGATTATTTCGTTCCATTTTATACGTTTGATTTTGGGAACATTTTCCACCGCGTCTTCAAGTTATCCCGAACACTGTCGATTAATCACCAAGAACCACCGTATTTTTTTTCTTTTTCTTGAGAAGCTTCCCTTTGAATAAATATTGTTTTAATATAATAAAATTAATACGAATTAAAGCTTCTCAATAAAATCGTTTCGATTCGTCTCGTTTTTTGTATCTTTGTCGATCGTTCAACGGTGCTCAGGATAAAATTCGATTCTCACATCTTTCTTTGTCAAGACGCGAAATTCTCTACTTTCATTTGGCAACGAGAAATTTTTCTATCGAACGGTTTTCGCGAACCCCGTGGAGACTACCGTCCAGCGGTCTCGTCCACAGCCGGATCGGATCCATCGAACGGATATGGTCTTTGTCGAGGATCTACGGTGCCTAGAGGGAGTCGAAGTTCGATTCTCGATCGCTAGCCTGTGAACATTGTACCATGTACGTATTAAAAAAAATGGAAAAAATACTTTATAATTGTAATAATACTAAACACTTATAAACTATTGTCCTTCGTCGGATCCATTTCAAGCGTTTGTAATAACTGAATAATTTTCTTTGGTCTACATCCCTGAATTTTTGACAGAATATTGTCTAAAGGTGTCTGTTTCAATCCATCAACGCCTAAATCCTTAAATCGTTATTTAAAAATTATGAGACTGATATATACGTTGTATCTTATTATTTTGGCCTCGAAAATATTGGTATTAAATTTTTGGATGGAATACTTGCATCCCTCAACTAAAACATGGAGATCCACTTCGTATCAGTGAAACTACGGATCCTTGCTGACAAAAGTTATACTATATACCAACGACAGAATTTTACACACCTTCAAAATAAGTGTTGCACCTGTGCAGTACTGGGCGTTAAAGGGTTAAGCAGAGTTGGACGGAATTTTATTCGAGTAATACATACTGAAAATCAGCAATATCCAAGAATGTGATCCTGACCTTTAAACAGTTAATGACATTAAATAATTGTTCACCAAATGTCCACTCATTCAAGAAGAAATATAATTTTATGGTGACAATTGGAATTTCCAAGTTCAATCAATTCCTTTATCTTTTATTCGTTATTCCAAACACTTTATCTATCTAATGAAGTTGCTCATCTCTGATTTTAAGACATCACTTACACCAAGCAGATATCAGACGATCACGTTCAATTATATCGTTTCATATTCTTGTCTGAAAAAAAGCCACGCAACTTACGGGACGATCTAATACTATACTCGATGCTCGAATTTCCCTCGTAACTCACCCTGTCCGGGCTATAAAGGGGCGGATGCTGGGCCGGAAGTCTCAGAGTGCTTCCCAGATCCCTCTCGGCCATTGTGTGCCCCTCGCTGGCACTGTCACGTGTGTCTCTGTTGTCTTTAACGCTGTTCCTGCGTGTGTCCGCGACTTTTGTCGGCGGCTGGATCGTCGTCTCGCCGCATGATCTGGCGAGCGTCGAGCCAGCCTCCCCTAGATCCAGTCTGAGTAACTTCGTGGGCGCCTGTATGGTTGTCTCGCCGCAGGAGCGGGCAAGAGTCGAGCCAAGATCACCCGGTAGATCTCCCGTTCGTAAAACCTTGGTCGCTGCTTCCACCGTGGTCTCGCCGCAGGAACGTGCCAACGTTGAGTCAGCGTCCATTGTTCGGGTCACTGTAGCCGAAACCTGAACGAATGGTGAATAAAATGATTAGAATTGGAAAAGGTTTTAAATGTTCCAGGAATTCGCATGTACATACAGGAAATGTTTGAGATGATTGGGTAAGTTTTATTGGAAGGAAATATTAAGACTTAAGGAAGGTAGAGTGAATCCTCGTTGAGTGCTCGAAGGCTCCTCGGAACATTAAATATTTCATGTACTAATTTGGTTCGGAATTCCAAGCTTTATCACGGTGCAAAATCTCATTAAAAAGTCAGTAATACACCTGGGGAGTTGTTGTCAATGTCTAGGAGCTTTCGAACACTCATCGAGGATTTACTCTAATCAGTCGAAACGAAGAGTATATTGTAATACAGCGTGATACTTATGCGCCGTATTTCAAAAGTATAAAACCCTCTGAAGGTATCTTAGGATTGTGATATAGTAACGGAAACTTTCATGTGCAGAAACGTAAAACAAGTGACTCATAGATGTATGCAGATACTTCAGGAGGTGAATCTAGACGCTAATATAAATAAAAAAAACGTCTGGAAGACTGAAGTAAATATTGTTTAGAGAATTTTAAAGCTCGATGGACAGCAATTACGCTGATATAATACAGCAGTTACAGTGACCCAAAATGGGTGGTATTTATGAAGCAGCACACTTTCTTCATACAGGCCGAGTGTCCCAACACTTATGAATGGTATTGTACCTTAGTTTTCGAGTTATAAAGGATTAAAGAAAATATTCCATCAATCACCCTATACAATTAAAAGGTATTTCAATAAATTACTAATATACGTCTGTTTACAAATAGATAGAATTGATTCGATACATACACATATTTGCAATACCGTAAAATAATCATTTCACCTGTCAAATTAGTTGAAACTTTACTCGTTTAGATATCCAAGTACACATTAAAGAAACAAACCAAACGATGACACTTAAATGTAACTTCTTTGAGCAGAATGTACTTTAAAATTGCATCCTTCGTTTGAAACTCCGCCCAGTCATGAAGATAGTTTTCAACGAAACAATAACGGACTGTAATATGTTAATGTAGAGTACGAATAGACACGTACCTGGAAACCAGCGCTAACTAGAGCGCCTGTCGGTGCCGCTGGTGTTCTGATGACCTGCACATCGGCCTCCTTACAGTCCTTCGTGCTGGATATACTTTGCTTCCTGTTTCCGGTGCTGTGCGTGCCGTTATCGAGATAGCTGAGCAGTTTGTGCTCTTCTGTCGAGAATGTACTCATTCCCGACTTGTAATGCTGCGGGGACTGCGGGGCCGATCGATATTTAGCGCGAGGGATCATCACAGTCAGTGAACGATCTCGTTGCTCGTCGTTTACCGGCACTGTAATAAATCGAGCAGCAAATCGAATTAATCACAGCTCCGTCACTCTTAATTAGCTATTTAAACTTTGTCGGGAATCCCTTGTCATTGGTGGAAATGATTAATGAACAGGCTTGGGATGATCACTTGAATTTTCACAAAGATTTCTTAAAACTTATCGTAGCGAAGTGTACTTTGCTAATGTGGCAAACATGTATCCAATTTGTTTGTATAATTCTGTATCTGTTGTATGGACGTAGTGGATATCATGATTGTTTTCAGATATCATGGTGACCTTCAGTTTTTTTCAAGGTCAATGCCTCTTCTTCTTAATACAATCATAAATTCATGTTACTATCAACAACAACGTGATATTAAAAACAAAGATGTATGGACCTTGAAAAAACTCAAGGTCACCTTCTCAAAAAATAATACAAAATAATCGAACTATGTTCATCCGATGCGTCCCTTAAAGTGTTATATAATTCATTGAAACGTTTTTTGATACAATCAATATGTAACGAGTTATTTTAAGTAACACTCCCTGTATATCACTTCAGAACATTTGCCGAATATTTGCCAATAAAAAGCGTGATGTCCTATGAACCAAAAAATTATTGTTCAAGCTCAGTTCGGTAACATCTGAGACAAACCTTGCTTCTAAAGTGCTGTGAATCACAGATATTCGAAAACGAACCTGAAGCAGACACCATTGTCGCCTTCCTCGGTGGTTGCCTAGGTTTTCCGCTCATCTTCCGGACCGGTCGTTTGCTAGGCGGCATCGGCGCTATCATCTGGGGCGGTGGTGGCAGGACGTGCGGCACGTGGTGAGGAATCGCCAGATCTGTGACGCTGCCCTCGCTACTGGTGTCGCCGCTCGTTCCTGGAATCATAGCCCTTCTGTCGCCGGTCTGCCGTTTTCGGCCAGGGTGACGGAAGCACGCCATGCCCACGCACACAGCCAGAAGACCCAGTAATATTGCCCCGGTCGTAACCAGAGCTATCAGTAGCACTGAAAAAACGGAAAAGAAATAATTTACGGCCACGGTGAATCGGACGCTCGAAACCTTCTGCGCGTTCCTGGCCGACAGCATGAGTTATCGTCAGGCGACACACGGTTCGTGGTAATTAAGTCGATGAATTTTTGGCAGTTCTCACGTGTGTAAAGAGATTTACGTTCTCGACAATAAGCATCGATGGAGACTTTGTGATTTAATATCGTGAATAATCGTTATTTGAAGGAGACAGCTGCAGACTTAGCGTTTAACCCTTGCATTTTCAAATTATTTAAGAATCACGAAATAATATTTCTTTTTGCATTTTTGTCTATATTACGTGACATGTAATTCGCAAGAACAAGGAGCTTTTAGCGCCTTTTTTTTTTTTTACTTTTATCACAGTTATGTATAGTAATTGACATTATCATGTTAATTTGTATGTAATATAACCCATTTTCCTTACAGTTGATCAGTGAACCTTTTTGAAATATTTGAAAGAGGTTCATGTTTTGTGGGTTCTTACTGTATAACTAACAATGCTCAATATTTGAATTCTAGCAATAGAAAAAAGCAAAAGATAATAATGTCTTGCTTTACCAATAGGTTTTTAAAACCCTGTGAAAATTTGTGTCATGCCATCTGGATACTATTATATACTCACAGATATGAAAAAATTAATGATACTAACATTTAATTTCGTAATTTAAAATACGTAGCCACATGGCTACAATGAGAACGAAAGGGTTAAAGTCGTAAAGTGAATAAGTAAAATTTCACTTAATATCATCACCTTCTGCAATCTTTCTACTTTTAAAACGTTGAAAAAGCTTTATCTTGTGCCCAGCATCGAAGTTTCCGTACGTTCTCGTTGCGAATGGAAAAACAATAGTTTTTCTTCCATTCATTATTCGACTACATTGTTCTTTTTTTTTTATTTTAGTGGCAGAGAGATGTGTCCTCTGTCTTTTGTTTTTTTTTCATTTTTAATGTTGCATATCCGCGAGATTCGTGATAAATCTACACTCACCTTTCAGATTCACCTGGCAGCGCTGACCGCTGTGCCAAGGGAAACACTCGCAGACTTCCTGTCCGTTTGTGTTCGTGACACAGTGTCCCTTGTTGTTGCAACTGGGACAACCCAACGGAGCCTGGGAGCACAATCTTCCGGGATAGACTGGATTCTCGGACAGATCGGCCCAGCCCTCTTTGCAGGAACATTGATAAGAGCCTCGTAAATTGAAGCATGCCGCGTTCGGTGAACAGTCGTGATGAGGACCTCCTTCTTCTGTCCCGCACTCGTCGAAATCGATCGCATTGATCTGTAAGAACATTCACTCTCACAATCTCAAACAATTTTCGTTGATGTTTGTTACTTAGATATGCAGGGTGAGTCAATAAGAAATATTATTTAAAATAACTCGTTACCTATTGTATCAAAAAACATTTTTATAAATTATATAGCAATTTAAGGGACGCATCGGATGGACAGAAATTCACTTTTTGATATCTATCTTTTTATAGAGATACCAAGGTGACCTTGAATTCTTTCAACGTCAGTTCATCTTTTTTATAATACTGAAGGACGATTCAGGGACCTATAAGATGATGGTATTAATAATCAAAATACACTGACCTTGAAAAAACTCAAGGTCACCTTGGTATTTAAAAAAAAAAAAGAAGATATAATATATAAAAGTTAACGAGTTATATTAGATAGTAGTTATATTGACTCACCCTATATACACCACTGTGATTCCACTACGTTACGTCCAACAACTTAACGTTACAATTTTCTAATTTACATGCATATATTCAAATTCTTTCTAAATTCTAGAAGAAATTTGATACGATATTAAACGAACAAAATACTGACCATGTCGAGGTTTTTCGAGGCGTAGACCTCGGTGCCTCCCAAGCTATAATTGCTACCGATCAGATACTTCCGAAGTACCTCCTTCAACCTCGTCTCATTGGCATTATCGCTGAGCTGTACATGGAATTCAACCTTTGTTGGATCCGGCGTGAAACCAGCGATCTTCAAGCCTCTGTAAATATCTCTTAAATCGCTCTGCATCAGAGTTCTGTCTAACGCGTCCTTGGTCGGGCCTAGCAGTCTTCTGTAGGTTGTAGACGCGGTGTCGTTTGTGCTGGACTCATAATTCACTGGCTCCTGGCCGATACGGTCCAGACCCACTTGTAGAGTGTAGGTGTAAGTCGCTATAGATGCACGTAACGAAAAATTTTATTAACAAAATATTCAGAGATAATTAATGAAAACTGAGACGGTAAAATCCGAAGTTCGCTAATTGTTTGGCTAGAAATATTATTTTCCATTGGTTCCCGTCATTCATTAACACTCACGTTTGCAAGGTCGATCGGGGAACATTCTCGCGAAACCAGGGCGGCAAATGCATCTCATTTCGCCCTCGAGCTCCGCGCAAATCTCTGACTTGGAGGCTTTGCATTCCGGTGTGCACTGATTGACAACAGGTTGAATGGACACAACAGGTGCACCAAGGACACCACCGGCCAGGACTCGGTGAATTTCGTTTCCGGTCGGGTCCTGTTCGTCCCTCGAGATATCGCCGTATTCGGCCTCGACCTTGCAATAGAATAATTTACGCGTTGAATTAGGGATTCAATAATAATATTTAGTTCTCGTGTAAGAGAGTAATTAATTACAAAGACGTCTTACATTTACCTCTTCGGCTCCAGGCGCAGGTGGTTTCTGGTCGCTCATCACCACGAAAATGGAGTCGTTATCTACATTCTCATAGGACGATGGTATCCTGGTCACTATCGACTGCAAAATGGTCGATGTTATTGTGGAGATCACGCTGGTTGGACGTAGCAAGGTCTCGGTTACTGTCTCGATTGTGGTCGATGTCAGTGTGTGAGTGAGGAGGAGGGTTCTGGTCGTCGGTGGAGAGCCCAGAACCGAGGTCTCTGTTCTTGTTATGGTCGACGTTTGGAAACGTGTCACCTGTATAACGAAAAAACGATAAAAATTTGTGTAGTAGAGAAATAATATCAAAAGTACCCTATCAACCCTAATATGTCCAAAACTTCGTTTTCCAAACTATACTTTCTTCTTCATAACGTTATTCTATTTAGTATCTTGTACAATATTTTATAAGGAATCATCTGAATTTTTAATGGATTTTCTAGAGATTTTTAATGAACGGTGCCAAATATCATTCAGCTGTGCAACTTGGAGAACAATAAAATACAGGTACGTTGAAACATTTGTTAGAGGACTGTTATGGATTGGGAAGAAGGAACTGCAGGTTAGAGAAAGTAGTATGTGGAAAGGAGCAACATGAAGTAGTAGATAGGTTAGGGAAAGTAGAAAATAAAATAAGATGATTTAGGGAAGGAAGGGAGTGATAGCAGACAGTTTTAAAAATGGAAGGATGAGGTAGAGCAATGCAATAGAAATTGTAAACCAAATCTATTCCTTAACTCTAGTGCACTTTCGGGTTAATCCGCTATTTTGTTAATAAATTCAGTAATTATTTCTAAACAAAAATCCTGAAGGGTACCTTACAAATTTATAAACACTACGTTAATCATCAAGATTCTCACCTCCTTGGGTTTCATCTGCTTGGTGGTGATGGACCCGTTAACAGCTTGGCGGGTCGAGGTGCCAGGAACATTCTTAGTGATCTTGGTCACCGACCCGTTCTTTCTGTCATGATTCTCCAATAACGTGCTCGTCACTTTCGTTATCGAACTGTCGATCCTGGTCGCTACGCTGGGCAATTCCTGGACCGTCGTCGTCTCGTTCTTTCGTTTCACCTCTGTCGTCTGCGTCGGGAGCACCTTTGTGCTCTCGTCCTTCATCGTGAATTGATGGTCCTTCTTCTGGGCGGTGGTGGTCGCTGGACTCAAAGACTCGGTCGGCTCCACTCTGGTCGACGGCAGTACATTGTCGTGGCTCGATTCCAAAAACACCGGATGCTCCGGACGTTTCACGGGATTACGGGGTACATCGAAGGTATACTTCGTTGGTTCGACGTCTCGACTCGTGGACGACGATCTGCTCGGTTGTATGTGATCCACTTGCAGAGGTCTCATTTTCGTCGGGACCACTAGATTCGTCGACAGCATCGGGGTTGGTTGGATAGATATTCTGGAAATAAAATGTTCCATCGATACAGGAAGACCAAATTATATTGTAACAATTTGAATATAATAACATATATGTAGGAGCGTTGGAAAAATGAAAGGGCCCAAGCGGGATTCGAGAACTCACGACCCCCGGCGCCGAAAGCAGAGACTCTACCCACTGCTCCACGGAACCCTCCTATTTTCCAAAGATGTTATTTGCTCCTTTATTGGGTATGGAGTTCCCGACCCCACATATATATTTTTAATAGGATCAGCTATTTTGTAATATTCGAACGCCTCGAATACCTGGACACTGGCCTGGTGTCGAACGGTCGAACGGTGTAGATGCTAACGTGCTCGGTCATCTTGGTCTCGGCTGGTCGGAGAATCTCAGGCACGTCCACGACAACTGGAAGATCGACGGTGCCGTGTATGATCGGTATCTTCGATTCGATATCGTGGACCACCGGTATGTGGGAGGTCGCTACAGCAGTGGCGATCTGAATGGAGCCGGAGACCGCAACTGCAGGCCTAACTGTAGCTACTTCGAGTGGTCTGGTGGTCTGTGTCGCTGGAGGAGGAGGTACCATGTCCTGACGAGCAGAAAAATATAAAGAAATTAACGATCTTTTCAATACGGTTTTCACAAATATATTGGCAATATTCTGTTTCTCGAAATGGCACTTGAATCTAGTCCGTTCACAGGATCCTTATCAAGACACTGACCTGAGAAAGGAGTTCCACGATGAATGGCCTTACGACAGAAGGTCTAGGGCTGGGTGGAACCATGCTGACGCTTGGCAAAGGCGCCACGGATGTCTCCTTCAAAGGAATATACTTCGGTGGAGGCTTCAGGCCAGACTCATTTGCGGTCGAGAAGGGGAATCGATCCTCCATGGGTCCGCTGGTTGTGGTTATATCGACCGGTGGCGGTGACAATCCGACAACATCGTGCGAGGGAATTGGAGGAGGCTTCAGACCTTCCTCTTCGTCTTTGTTCGACTGATTCGGCATCGTGGGTCTTAAAGGCGGAGGCATCATGTCTCTAGACGGCACGTTCACTCCTTCTATACTCAACATGTCCCCGGTGGACGACTCAACGGGCCTGATTCTGGTCTTTGTGTCATGCTTGATCGAATCACCGTTGTCTATACCTGATGCGGCAAAGTTCGTCTGATATGCAGTCTCCAGAGACTCGTCGTTCTTCTTCTTCTTCTCGTTTAGATTACTCGCTGTGATCAATATACTCGGTGGTCGTTCGGTTTGCGTCTTGCTGTCCACTTCTTGGCCTACAACCTCAACAGGCAATGAGAATCTTATATTCGGCCTAGCGTCCGGCTTCGAGTTGCTTGACGAGATGGTTATCGGGCCTGGTACTTGGGGCTTTGGTTTGGTGATGATGTGGGGATACTCGGGGTGAATCCTCGTTCCTGGATTGTATTCCGGATACGTCACCTTAGGACGATTCTTGTCGAACACTGGTCTCGTTATGTCCGAGTTCGACTGAGGACGGTCATCGGACTTATGCGGCACGGTATTGTTTCTAAAGTTGATTCTGACGATGTCAGTTTTATTAGATGGAGCCTCCTGACCGTGAGGCCTCGAATCGTCTTGTCGATGCTCGGTAACCTTCGTTCCACTCTCCCAGTTCAGGTTTACAAAGCCAGTTAACTGTGAATGATTTCGATTTGTCTTGATCTCGTGAACTAAACTGTTATTGGCAAACGAGTCTAACATTCCAGGTTTAGCTTCCATGTGTGGCTTCACGTGATCCGGTCTCTTCTCAGGTGAATAGTTTGTAACATCTGGTCTGGGGTACAGAATCGGTCTGGTCTCGATTTTGTGGACTGTTGGCGGTCTTGGATACATGCTAGGTTTTTCCACTTCTGGTACGAATTGCGGGATGATCGCTGGTGGCCTTAGGTCTATGGTGTCATCATGGGGTCGGAAAGTAGATGCTTCTTGATGATGCTTGTCATTTGGTTTCTTGTTCCCGTAGTAAGTTGTTGGTACACCCTGCACTATATCGAAGTCGGGTCTGCCTTCTATCCTTTTGTTACCATACTGCGATCCATCTTCGTGACCATGGTAGACACCAAACGGTTTCCCTTGGACGATCGCCATATCGTTGGGTCTCGTGTTGTAATAAGTGGACCCGTAAGACACACCTTGGCTAGGTGAACCTTCGTTCTTGTGACTGAACGGCGCCCCTGGAGTCAACCAAACAGGTTTCCCTTCCTGGTCCGGAGTTTGATCTGACCCGACCGGCTTGCCAATCACGATATTACCAGACACTGCGTTCCCATTCAACGTTACATTCTTAGCTTGAACATGAGTAAATTCGTCATTCTTTGGCTGCTCTGGTTCTTGCACCACTTTCACCTGATTATGGTACTTGACGTATTCCGAGGCACCAACCTCGGAGTCGATTGTCTTCTCCGTTTGCGAATCACTTGGCCAGGATTCAGGCTGGTCCTCTCCATTAGGTAGAATCTGACCGAGATTCTGGACCTGACTATTCACAGTTGGCTTCGGATCTTCCGGTTTCACTTTAGGATTCGATGGATTGTGGTACTCTATCGCTCCTGTTGGCACTTGCTCCTCGGTTTTCTCTGTTTGGGGTCTGAATGGCGTGATGCTTGGTGGTCTTTTGTTCTCAGGGTAGAAATGGGGCGGTCTGTCCTGAAGATCGATCTGTTGCAATCGAATTATTCGTAATCGTTAGCAACTTACGATTATATTGAACGAAGTTCAGATTATTAAACGTTTAATAGTTACCTGTGGAGGAGATCCAAACGAAGGCTGCTTCTCGGTTGTTCCCTCCATCTCACCATCACTCGGTCTCGAAGTAGATTTCCTCGGAGGTTCATGATGAACTTGAGGATTCGGTCGATGGGAAAGCACAAAGGTGTTGGGGTTCTGCGGCTTCTGAGGCGGTCTTTGAGGGCCACCGTAAACAGGCTTCCTGATATTCGGTCTGTCCACAAAGATTGGTCTCTCAAGAGGACTTCTGGTCGTGGACCATATTGGCGGACGCGGCCTGAATCTATTGTTCACCAGAATCCGCGGTGGTTTCTTGTCCTTCCAGGTTGGGTTCAACACGATCTCGTTTCCTGAATCCGGTTTGGCCAATAGAATATATCTGTGGGAATTATCCGATGGATTCGACACTTCGATTCTTCTAGGCGGTGTACCAGAATCGCCAGGCTGTGGAACCTTCGGGAATTGCCCGCGAGGTGGTAGATGACCGTGAGTAGGTGAATGATGCACGTTTTGCGGTCGTATGTTCACGGTTTCTGGTCTGTGGTGAACCAAAATCTCCGTGTGAACGTGACCCTGGCCACCGGAACCGTCAGAGTGTCTGATCAGATGGACGTCTGACGGTTTCTTTTCGGGTCTACCGACAGGGGATTCGAACTTGTCTTGCGGTCTGTCGTAATTGAAACGATCCGGCGACAATGGAATGGCGGCTGGTCGATTCGAGGAGCCTGGTTTCTCGGATGGATTTTTGAAATTTAGGGGTGGAGACGGTGGGACCATATAATCCGCTGGATCATTTCCATTAGAGTACTTATGCGGATCTTCCACCTGCATATAATAAACGTTTGATTGTAACATACTGTAATAAAGAAAAGAAATTTTATTTTAAAAGTGTTATTGAAATCCTTGCCCTCTGCATCCCAATAAATCCTAAACCAACTTCAGACTCAGGGTAGGGCGAAGGTTCATCGAAGTATTGCCCGCTTATATGAGGCTCGCTGGTGTCGCCGAAAATCAACGCCTGGGTCCCACCCTGAGGAATCACCACGTTCGCCACCTGACTTGGCTGTATGTTGACCAACAACGGTTGTCCTGTTGATCTGTCGATGATGTGAGGCACTTGATGAACGATCGGCTCCGATGGCGTGGGTTTCGACTCCGACGCCTGTATGACAACGGGAGAATCAGGGATCAGGTGATCCCTGTGGGCCCATGGCGGTCGTTTCTGATCTTCAGATGGAACTGTTGGCCACGGCTTTTCTATCGGTGTTTTCGCCGAGTCCATTTTCTGTAATATTTGAATAATTCATAAATTCACCACTAATCTTCAAAGTCTGAATATTTCGAACTATACTATGGTACCGAAATGAACAAATTTTACGACATAAAAAATTCCTGCCTTGTGGCCCGAAGGAAGTTCACAAAGTTGTATTTTCGGTGAATGCAATTCTTTGGGATCTTTTTTAAAATAAAAGAAACGGTTACTTGATCGAACTGCGGATGGTGGGAAGCAAGCTTCAAAGGATCCTTCGCGCTCCAGGGTCTCCTCGACTTCTCAGGACTCCATTCAGGCTCCTTCGAATTCGGGTTCACGTATTGTTCCACGTTAGGTCTGTCGGGTGGCTTCAGTAATGGATCATTCTCCAACACGTCCTGCTTCGATCCTATTCTCTTCGGCGGGGATGATTGAACGGGGTGTAACTTTTGGGGTTGTTTAGGCGCCAATACAGGATTCGTGTCGACGGGTCTCGAAACTGGAATCTTCAGGTGTTCCTCGTAGATTTGGTGAGACGGATATATTTGTATTTGCGGGCCCTTGTGACGCGTCTGTTGCGGCTGCGAGTCTTCTCGATCATTTTCAAGCACTTCGAGAACCGGATGAACTGGAATGTTGGGAACTGGTAGCGGGGGTGGTTTCATTCCAATGTGCTCTTCGTCTTTTAGGTACGTTTGTGGAGGTCTTGGCGCCATTTTTCCGGGTTTACCAATGATCACGTCGCTGTTCGCGGTGATCACTTCACCTGGAGAGATTGGGATACCATCTGCCAGGCTGGACGCGACTTTGTGACGAGTTTCCGCTAAGTAGTTGTGATTTAGGTTCGCGAGATGAGTACCTTGAGAGAGGATCAAAGTATGTTCAATTTTATTCCCGGAGAAGAGTTGCCATTTTCTGTGTTACTTTATGACGATAGAGAAAATTAAAGTATGGTTTTTGAGGAACAATATAAGGACAGGTTTGATGGTCCATATGGTTCAACTATACTTTAGACTGAGTAACAGTTTTACTTGATATTTACACAGTATTTTGCGTTTATTCGGCACACCGTGAGTAAAGAAGTATTCTTTAAACAATGACGCAGTTCAAAAACATTAGGTTCTCAGAAAAATCGCAAAGGACTGTCACAAATCGCAGTCCATCTTTGAACAGTAAGAGTAACTATAACTGGTCTCTGCCACCCAACTTATGAAGCTAAAAAGATCACAGTTTTGATAATTGGTAGTACAGTGTTTTCGTAACTTTTTCATAGTCTTAACTCGAAAACCACAATTTTTTTGGCATTGATGCTATATATAATCATAGATTGTTAATTATACTTTCACTGCCAATCCTTACCGATATTCTGACTTTCAGCAGTCTCTATGTCCCCGTCGGCAAACTCCGCCACAGGTATGTAAATCGGTGACCTCTGCGTGGTGACCTCTTGCGCCTCATTTTGTGCTACCGTGTCGTTACGGCGAGTCACGGATGGTTTTCCTTGCAACAAACCGGCCATCGCCGTAATCACCGGTCCCAGAGCCGACAAACTGTTGATCCCCAATGATCCCAGGCTCAAAAGATTGCTCACTTGTAGATCGCTTGTGTTCTGATTGGGTGGTCGTTTGTTCGGACCGTTCTCACTGGAGGCTGATGCTGTCACGTTATTATCCTGCAATTAATTTTACAATTTAATCAACCGACCTGTAAATCAAATGGAATACCATGATAAATCCAATATTGTATATTCAGTTACTTCAATTACTAATTCTATTATTAAATAAATCTCAATGGTATCCGCAATAATTATAAAATATCTCGAAAAACATTCGAAGTGATTGAAATTACATGACTGATCTGTCCAGCGGGCTTCGGATTCGTTTCATTGTCAACAGCAAACACTTCGGTCGCTGCCAGACTCGCCTCGTCATTCTGGATCTCGATCGTGGAAGTCGCCTCCGGGAGGTTTGTAGTGGTAGTGGGATCGATCTGGTCCTCTTCGTCGAAGAAGATGATCGTTGATCCAGTCACCACGTTCTTCACTGAGTCAGAATGGTGAGCCGTCGTTAACAAAGCGTTCATATAACCAGCGTCCAACAAACTGGGCGCTATCGACTCCGTGACGACGTTCTCCACGATGTGCGATCGTGACGACACTGTGGTGGACGTTTCTCCGTCTGCTCCAGCCTGGTATATACAGAACAAATAAAATTACAAATTTACATAAAGAAATGAACACCCCTTCGCTGGAAAATTTCAATTAAAGTCTTTGGACTTCCTAAGTTTTCGACAATTGTGACGCGTTGTTTATTTATTTAGATACTAAAATGCGAATGTTTAACTGTCTGCTTTTTAATGTTAACGTTTAATATTAATTTACCTGTAGCAGCGTCGTGAAGTACGTGAAGGTTGTCAGGTATGTCTTCGTCGCGAAGATTTGAATTGGTTCTGGGGTCGGGTTCACCAATGAGGTCTTCGTTGTCTTCTTCACGGGGACTTTCTCCAGCACGACGTCCGTGGACGTCGCCACGTTTGTTCGTACAACCGTGCTGCCTTTCTCCAGGAACGTATTGTAATACGTATAGGTAATATAATAAGTTTTCATTACATCGGTCATGCTCTCCTCGGTATGATCCAGCGCCGTTAGAGTGGTCGTGACACTGGTCGGACGTGGCGGTGGCACGGATTCTGTTATTATAAGCTGAAGAAAACACGTTTTAACGACTAACAAAACACAAGTTTTCTTTTTTTCCAGTGTGACCAGATAAGCACAGAGTTTTAAATAAGAATAGGCATAATGTTATTAATGTCATATAAACACTGAACTTTAAATTACAGACAAAATGGAGAACTACACTGCTGAAAAGAATTAGCAGAATCCACTAAGCAGAATAAACACAAGTGCTATAAATTTTCTGAATTTATATCTTTCCCGTATAATAATAATATCATTAACACCTAGTTAGATTTTTATAGATCGCTAATATGTGCGATCCTCTGTATCCACTAAGCAGAATACACACAAGTGCTATAGATTTGTTGAATTGATATCTTTTCGGTATAATAAAATCATTAACACCTAGGTACATTTTTATAGAAAACTTTTAAATGTTTACACGTCGTATGGACGAGCACATCGACTGCAATACAGATCCCCTAATCGTTTTGAACAGTGTATATTCCTTTTTCGTTAAGAATGTGAGTTCTTAAGTGGAAAACGCCAACCTGAGTAACAGTATCGCTACTGGTCTCGATCCTTGTTCGTCCATCCTCCATAAACGTCTTCTCCAGCATTCTTGTACTGAGATACGTGTTCGTTTCCGGTCTGGGCGCCTCAGAGGGCTCCAATATCATGTCCAAATAATGTTGCGGAGCGGTCACCGTGTTCGTGATCACCTTCGTGCTGCTTTCCAGCGCGTCGTTTATGTTCGGATGATCCGTGTTCAGTGTCAGGTACGTGTAAGTCGTCTTAAAGACTTCTGTTCGCAGGGTTGGCGACGCTTCTAGCGTTACCGCGGCAGTTTCTGATCCGGGTTTCCGGTGACGTTCCTCTGTCGCAGTGTTCGCCACGACCTTCAAGAATTATAATTTTAAACGACAATAATTTCGACATTCTAAGTGCCTATAATCCAACAAAGTGCTATATTCTATTGACAAAAGATTTTTCGAATTGAACCGCGAATGTAACGATTAGAACGAATCTCGATCTGAAGGTTTCAATGTGCGATGATAGCAGTATCATTGTACTCAAACCAGGAGATAAGTTTCTTAAGATAAAAAATGAGTTTCTGAGATGGACAACTAGAAAACGTGGATATTCGTAAAACTGAAATGCTAGAAATTGTATTCGCGATAATATCAGTTGCCATAAAGCAATAAATATTAGATGTACATACCAATAAGTATGTACATAGAATACAATTTTTTCTAACAACTCAGAAACCTATAACCACTTAATTAATATTTCCTTCATCATTTTTAGAAGCACTATCATTGTTATAAAGAGGGCAGATTATACAAAAAATTCTGAACATTTCAATCCCGTCCCCGACAATACACCACGAATACATCGTAATCTATTAGAATAAAATCTACAACAGTCTCCAGCGCCAGACAACCTTCGATTTTTTTCAAGTTTTTCTCATTTTACCAACAGACAATACACGAGTGTCTCCTCACCTGTTGCTCCGTCGAAACGGTAGTCGTACCGTCCTTGGTGATCGTGGTGAGGTACGTGAAGGTGGTGGTACACGTCTTCGTGACAAAATCATTCGGCTTATCTTGAGGAAGCATCATGACAACCGCGTCGGACAATGTCAGCGTGGGTTGAGGCATAGAGTTCTCCCATCGCAAAGCCGGCGTCGGACCGGCCACGATTACCTCGACGCCGTTCGACATTACACGAGTGGCCAGGTTGAACCTTCGACCTTCTTCATCTTTTCCTTCGTGTTCGCCTGTCATTGCAATTCATGCTATTACATCGTGATCACTTTTATCGCCGTTTTACGAGCACCCTATAACGAGAACTCTGAACGGCAATATAAATATTTACAGATTCGTTGAGTCTATAAACACACGTGACCGAGGTACACCTGAATGGAATTTTGCTGGAGTAGATCGTAACAGTTCAGGAATTTATGGAAATTAACTTTTTGCACTAGGCGATCATGGTACGCCTGAGATAACAGCTACCACGTGGTGCGACTTTGCCACGAAGGTTGTGGTTATCCAGGCGTCGGCTAGCACGGTACCATGCTTCTTGTTGACAGAGCACGCGATTATGTGAATTACACCCCACAATCGAATAAATGTTAATTCATTTTTAAGTGGGAATTTCCTTCTTGTGATGCACGAATTCATACAGTGTGCTCAATGAGATACCATACTGATCAACTCCGGAAAATCTAATACTTTTGTTTATGGATTCTTTCGTTTTAGATAAAATAATAATTGTGGTTACTTATACAAATTGAGCCGTCATGAAATCTTGTTGGGTGTCCTTTTTAACTGGAAATGGTGGAATGTCTCCCAAGGAACTGACGATATTAAAAAAAATGTTCTGAGAAAAGTTGTTTGGTTTGGGCAGGGACATTATGTGGTATAAATAATTTATTTTGTAAGTAGAGTAGTTACGACTTCCTACTACAGTCAACCTTATATGGCACATCGTTCAACCTGTCTCAACAAATGCTATCATATTATGAATAAAAAAATATAGAATTCTATTTGAGGAAATTAACTTGATCTTGAAATCACCCCCATTGCTCTACCTGCAAAAAAATTGTTTATACCATATAATGTCCCTGTCTGTGTCAAATAACTTTTGTAAGAACATTTTTTTCATATTTTTAGTTTCTTAAGAGATATTTCACCGTTTCTAGTTAAAAAGGACACCTATATATAAATCACAACGCCTTAATCAAACGTGATTTAATTTGCCAGCGATAATTTTCTTCTCGTCTATTTAGGTCTACGCATAGAATTTTTTTAACAAAACTCTGCTCGCGTGAATTCACTGCACAGTAAATCATCGATGAGTGTTCGAAGGCTCCTCGACACTGATAAGGAGAGGTTCCCAGGTCTAATGCTAGCTTTTTTAATGACGTTTATCACAGCGACAGAGCTTGGAATTCTGAAGCCAATGATATTTGTTTCAGCCGCATATGGCTCTTAGTTTATAAAATATAAGATATAATATAATAAATATAAATATTTAATGTATGAATATTTAATATAATAAATATAAATATTTAATGTTCAGTGCCGAAGAGCTATCGGACACTCATTGATGATTTACTGTAATTGTTCACATAATCGTGTATCCCAGCATCAAAAAGACAAGCATCATAGAGTGCACCAATCAGGTTGTCCTCGATTAAAGTCGAGAAGAAACACGAAAGTACACCAAATAAACAGGACAATTCAATTATGTACAAGATCCTTCATTTACATTATGTACACGTATCCAACAGTTCTATATATATTGTACAAGGGTAAGAATTTCGAATGCCGAAAGCCAATTGGAGCGAGACGCGAAGAAGAATTTGTACAATATCTCGAGAGGATTACCCTCGAGGGGGAAACGTAAAATATTAGTCTAAACGTTATGTTTTTTTTTTTACATCGATCACTCGTGTGTTCTAAACGAAACACCGTTAACCCCTTGCCTTAAAACATCCAGTGAGACTCGTGGTAGCGATATCAACATAGTTTCACCAAACATAAATATTCTTCGTTCCCTTTGAGTCAAAATAAAATACTAGTTTGATGATATTAATATTTGACTTATAAAGTACCTGTACAATTACCATAAGTACAAGAATTCCATTTGATTCCAGGAAATTATCGACGATAAAGTAATTCTGGAGACCGAAGACGCCAAAAAAAAGATCATAGGCCAATGGGTTAATTCAATTGCTGGTCCATTAAAACAGACAGAACAATTCTCACGAGAATTCGACAATAATAAAAAAAAAAACATTCAGATCACACGAGACGATCGTCATAGAAATGGCTCGGACAGCCGTTTTAGCTACTCACCAGCATCAGGCACCGGACTATACACAGACGAAACGCCGTTCGCTGACGACTCCACGGTAGGAGTTACAGTCACCGTGACGGGCACCGTCAACGTAAGTGTGGTCACTCTCGGTCTGACGGTCGTCGAGGACGTCACTTTCGTCTCCAGTCCGTTCTGTTGCGTCACCACGTACGTGTACGTCCTCAATCGCGTCGATGTCACGACAGTCTCCGTATAGTACACGCTCGTGCTCGGTTCAAGGTCGGTGGTCGGTCGTGTCTGGTGTTCGACGTTGCTTGGTTTCGAGGGTAAGATCTGGGGGAAGTCTGGTCGCGACAGGGATAGATAAAGATCGTCGGCTAAGCCAGCCTCGATGTCCTCGGGTGTCGGTGACGAGATCGTGGTCGTCACCTTGGCCGGATCGTGGCTGGGGGTCGCTTCGAGGACCATCGAGGTCCTCTTCGTGGTTGTCGAGGGGGTGTATTCGACTCCCAGGGGAATCACGCTCGGTATCTCGGAATCGTCTAGGTATCTAGGAGCTGCGTAATCGGATGACACCGACTGGGAGGTCTCTAGAGGCAGGACACTGGCGAAACTGGACGCTAAGTCGACCGATGACGATGTGGCTGATGAAGTGGCGGATAAAGATGGGGCGGGTTCGATGAGGGGCTGAATTGGCTGCACTGTCTGTGCTTCTTCCATTTCTTGTGACTCTATCTTAGTCTCTGGAGTCGTTTCAACGGGTTCGTGTTTGTCGTCGGATGGAGATTTCTCTGTTTCTGGATGGACACTTGGGACAGTTGAAATATGGAGTTCCTTCTCCTTTTCGGGTGGATCTTGAGGGGTCTCTGATGAAGAATCTTTGGAGTATGTTTGTGTGACGGTAACTTGTGATTCGGTGTCCTTTACAGGTGAATCTTCTTTCTCAACTGACGAGGAATCGTTGAATTCTGATGGGGTCTGCGATTCGGTTGATTCTGTGGTTGATGATGTAGGGTGCTCGGTATCATCGTATACCTCTTCTTTCTCGGTTGTTGTAACTTCTTGTTCAACGGGTTTGGTTGTATCCGATTGTGTTTCAGGAATGTTCGTAACCGTCGTTTGATCTATAGATTCTGTTGTTTCTATCATCTTGACTGTCGTTACGTGTTCGTCTACTTCTTCTTCCTCGACTTCAGGTTGAGCAGTGGTGGAACCATCTTCCTGTACAGTTGTGTCGATACTTTCTGGCTGCGTGGTCGTGTTTTCGTCTTTTATTGATACGGTTGAATCTTCCGTCGGTTCCACAGTCGTCGATATTACATCTTCAGACGTGTCATCTTCTTTAACATGCTTCTCTGTCGTTACGTTTTCATTTTCAGGCGTTTCAGAAATGTTTGTAACATCATCCTTGGTGGGCAGAATGTTTGCTTCATCCTTTGGTGTCTTAGTTGTTGGAACATCGTCGTTCATTAATTCTTCGGCACTCGCTGTTGTCGTAGTTTCCGGATAGTCGTCCTCGTACACTTCGTACTCGTCGTCAGATGGTGGAAGGAAGAAATTGTCGGTAATAATAACAGGATCCTTCGCATCGGTCTCGTCCAATACCTTCGATTGGGTCTGATCTGGCCTAGCAGAGGTTTCCTTGTCCGGTTTATTATCGATGACATTCGGCGGTTCGCCCAATTCGGGCGTAAAAGTGGTGGTTACCTGCAGCTTGGAATCTTCTTCCTCCTCGCTAATCTCCTCCGAGTAATCCTCATCGTACTCGGACGTCGAGGCGGTGAAGAATCCAGTAGTGATGATAGCGAAACTCGGCGTAGGTTGCACTGGTCTGACAGCGACCAGCTTCTTCTTCGTGATCCTGACTCTCTTCTCGCCGATAGTCGGTAGAACAGTGGTAGTCGGTTCGATCTTTCGACGTCTTGTGATGGTCACTTTGTGTCGTCCAAGCTCGGGTCTAGAAGTCTCAGACTCGGGTCTGAAACTATCAATCTCATCCGTGCGTATCGAATTAGCTAGACCGAGAGTCCTGACTCTGGTGACAACGATTCTTCTCGGTATATGGCTCGAGGTAACCAACGGTAGATCCTGGGTCCTCGAGTTTAAAGGTCTGCGTCTGACGACGGTCAGCTTGTGCTGTCTTGCGTTCTTCCTGACAACCGGAACGCGGATTCTAACCCGTTTCCTAGGCGTCTCCTCTTCGATGTAGTCGTCGTTATTCTCGGTCAGACTCGCAGGACTCGCGTCACCGTCCGAACGACCGACTACCCGTTTGCTACCGAAGTCACTCGGTCGGTATTCGTCCGGGTAGTCATCTGAAAAGGCGACGGTTTTCGTTTCCGTAGAACTTAATCCCCGTTGCTCCCCGAGGGTTACAATTACACGACCGTGAAAGGGTTCGGGATCTCTCGTCGTGGGGTTAATCGTCCGGTGTTTAAACGACCATCCAGGATCTCGATCATACCCCAGTTTCGTGCACTTAGTAGCGTTTTACATGGGTTGCTTGGCCGACACACACAGAGGGAGAGTACCATGCTTGCTGGGTTTTTGGTCGTGTGGGCGCGCGTGCGGCGGCGGCAGCGGATTCGTGGCTGTGTTAGTGGGTTCCGGGACGACGCTC